TGCAATACATTGGCATATTAGTCACCATTCATCGTATCGTTAAGTCTAGTTACTAATAAACAACACAACTAAACGAAAGGTTGAAATAGGTACACCTATTGCAAGTATACTGTGGCAAGTATTGATTCAGTTGTAGTAAATATTGTATTTCCTCAAATAAGCGCGGGCGCATATTTCAATTTTCAACAATAAGGATAGGCGCATTTTCACAGGAGGGCGCTTATAACATTTTCCTTTAAACGGACAGGAGAATTTGAATTTCCTTGTATCCCTCCTATTTAAGAAAGTGAGGGGAGCACTTATTCGAGGAAATACTGTGACAATGGTTTCTAATCATAATTTGATCATTCGGCGGTCGGCGTTCTGCAAAATTTCCCTGTCGCGTTCGCCGACTAGAGGTAACTTTCTCTTGCATTGGTGGGAGCCCGGGGAGGGGGAAGGCTGTTTTCCATTGGAGGAGGAGGAGGAGGAGGGGGAGTGGTGGAGTGAGAGGCTACAAGTAAGTTCTATAGGTTGGCCAGCCCTCGTTCTTCATCTCCTAAGTTATATCTTCAAGCTGCTGTGAGGACGGAAACTAAATTACTCAAGCCATTGCCGTAGGTCGTTGTTGTCTCGTTGTCGCTGTTCGTTGGTTGGAGCCGCAGCGCTGATAACAAACATTTTTTAACCGATGTTCTAGCTGGATTTGCACTTGGAGCCATTCAGTTTTGCATGGTTTGTGGTGAGTCAGGTCCTACATTTGCTGTAATCAAAACTAATCCGTACAACGTTAGAGCACAGGCCAAGTTTTATACCCAAATCTCAACAGCCCGATTTTGATGTAACATAAATACGAGGCTTTAGGGACAACATTGAAAATTTTTCACAATTCCATTGCATCATAATTCTCGGATTGACTTGAGCACAGGGGATGATCAAACCAAATACAGAAACTATGACCAGAAAGCCTTGGAGTCATATTAGAATTTTATAAAGCGAACGTAGGTTATTTTCAGTACCCTTTTTCCACTTTCTTCTAAATTCTAATGATTGGTTCTTCTATAAACCGCTCTTTCCTGAAGATAGAGAAAAAGAGAGAAAGAAAAAGTTGACCTTCACTCCCTGGACGCTTTCTCCTCAACCTCGTCCCCAGGGCTTTAAGGGAAAAGCCCTGGGGACGAGGTTGGCTTTCTCCCGTGAGTCAGGTCACTCCGTGGGGCGGACGTATTACCCATCAAACAAGAGACTATAAAGGGGACAGAGAGGGCATCCCCCATATACACCCTATTCCATAGGTAATTTGTCTCGAGTTATTTTTAACACCACAGATCTCAAGGGGGATTAGACAACAGCCAATCACATAGCGCGAATGTGTTCCGCGTGGATGACCCACGCTGAGAGCCACGCGTCCTTCACGAAATGACGCAGAACAAAATGGGGGAAGACGCGGAGAGCGATTTTGCTATTCCTTTTGTCGACGAAAACGACTACAGCGAGATTTCTGCGAAAGCTGTGTCAGCGAAACCGAAATTAAAAAAGAATCGCCCTTCCTCTCTTGTATAGAGCTAACAGTAGAGCAGGGAAATCCTTAACACACTGAATATTCTCTCAGGATCATTTATAATTTACAGTTTGAAGAGAGCAATTTCTGGTTTGATGTTTATTTTTTTCAGTCTTTATAGCGATTATTCCTACCCACTTACTTTGTCAATTGTAGGCGAACCCTCCTAAAGCTGAATTTCAAGGGACCATATTCAAGCTCAGAAAGAGAAATAAAATTTCGTCGTTGCTTATTTACGTCCTCCATAAAACGCGAAATTAGGCATTTTCACGTCGTAGTCGTGCAAAAACGGGAAAGAAATGAACAAAAAAGTGTGTTGCACGTGCGAAGTTGTTGTTTTGCTAATTAAACCTATTGTTTTTTTGACGTTCTAGTTGTCGTCCGCGTCGTTGGATCTTAAACTCCCTAAATTGTACAAACGACCGGTTTCAATAGACCGGCGAAATTTCTCATTTTATTAAAGCATTGAGGTTACGACAACTTCGAGTTAAACTGATTTCACGGGTTGTTAAAGAGTCCAGCGATTCCTTTTTCCCAGGTGAGCGCCGACTCATTTCGCTTCAATATTCAGGAATGCTCTCGATCTTTTTACGCTTTCATTGCCTCTCGCCCGACATGTTTTGCACAGCGTTTGGTCATGCGAAACCTCCACGAAACATCCACGCCTCGCGCGAGGTAACTTTATCCCGATTCTAAAAATAACTCGAGACGAATTACCTATGGAATAGGGTGTATATGGGGGGTGCCCTCTCTGTCCCCTTTATAGTCTCTTGCCATCAAATAAATCAGATAATAACACGTGGCTCTCTCTTTGCAGGCGTTCAAGATCCTGAAGCTCTTTGCGGTTTGAATCCGCAAGCCAAAAGTATACACGCTGTTGCCACAACAACAGCGGACATTTGTCACAGATGAATGAAACAAATTTAGCTTGATGGATCTTCAGACAGATCTATCAATGTTTTCAAACATATCAATGCATACCGTAAATGATCGATTAAGCGCCGCGGAGCTTATTTAATTTCCCTGTTTTAGGTGCGGCGCTTATTCGAGAGCGGCGGTTATTTCAGCTACCAGTAAAACACTCAGGGGAATATAGAGAGAATTAAGTGAGGCGCGTAGCCCAATTTAGTATAAAATATGTACACCTCGAGCTGTTATATGAACCTGATTTCAAGAGTTTCCCTACATTAAAACTTTAGAACTCACGAGTTGGTCGAGATCTTATTTTCTCAAACGATATCAAGCGCCGTAACAAAGAAGGGGCGTTAGTTTGTGAATATTCAAATTAGCGCAGCGGTGCTTATTCGCGAGCGGCGCTTATTAAATTATTTTCGGTAAGAGTGCGGCGCTTATTCGAGAGCGACGCTTAATCGAGTAGCTGCGCTTAATCGATCATTTACGGTAAACGCAATACGTTGCATGCGCTCACAGTAAAAATCACAGTTTGTAACCTTTCCACCTGGAAGATTTTGTCATTGTCACGCCAACACCAGTAAGCCGGCCTTAGCTTTCCTTACATGAATCGGGCTAGTTTTTTCTCCGAAGTTTTCTTCACCGGAAACTTGAACCATTTTACATCCTTTAAAAATAGCTCGTTTCAGTTAGCGTGTGTAACCTGCGTGACAGGAGCAAAATAGGAGAGGGAAAGGAGGCGTAGAAAAGCGCGAAAGGGAAAAGAAGAAGAGAAAGAAGCTAGAGTTGCTCTCGGCTACGCCTCGAAACTCTCTTACGCTTCTCTCCTGCTCTCCACACATCCCTTGTTTTTCCATAGCTCTATATACGCACGCTAAGCATGAACCAATTCTTAAGTGTGGGATGCATCAACTTGAACGACTTTGATTTTGAGAATTTAATGACATTTTTCACACTTTAATACTAAAAAGTTTTTTAACGTTTCGATAGACAAGTTCAACTAACCAAAGGGAAAAACACTTGTTTGCAATACATTGGCATATTAGTCACCATTCATCGTATCGTTAAGTCTAGTTACTAATAAACAACACAACTAAACGAAAGGTTGAAATAGGTACACCTATTGCAAGTATACTGTGGCAAGTATTGATTCAGTTGTAGTAAATATTGTATTTCCTCAAATAAGCGCGGGCGCATATTTCAATTTTCAACAATAAGGATAGGCGCATTTTCACAGGAGGGCGCTTATAACATTTTCCTTTAAACGGACAGGAGAATTTGAATTTCCTTGTATCCCTCCTATTTAAGAAAGTGAGGGGAGCACTTATTCGAGGAAATACTGTGACAATGGTTTCTAATCATAATTTACAGCCAGACGTTACTAGCGATTTTACAAGACTCGTCTTCAGCCCTCTTTTACCATAAGGTAAGAAGCGATCGATCGTTTACTTTTTGTTTTAAATGCATCGAGGCGAGTCGGGCGTCGTGGTATCCCACGCCCCTCGGTACATTTGAAACTGAGATGGCTGCCCGTTATTTTGAACGCCCGGTCGCTCAATCTCGTCCCCAGGTCGCTTTTCCTTGGCTTTGGAGGTAAAAGCCAGGGAAAAGCGCCCTGGGGACGAGGTTGTCGGTCGCTACGATCTTACGAAAAATGGGAACTGTAGTCTATGCACTTCATATAATTAGTTAAAAAGGACCTAAAATTTTGAGAAAAGCTCTAAAAGTTCTCTTCTAACCCCTACATAAACAAAGCATCTAGGATAATCTATCATATGACGTCTTCTTTCCATGCCATCATCACTATGGGTCAAATTAGGGTCTATGTACAAGAAGGGAGGATATTCCTTGCTGGGAGATCAGTTCGCAGCTACTTTTAAAAAATGTCGAGCCCTTGTTATCATCAACTTGATTGTTATCATGATTATATAAACACATGAACAGAAGCCGGTAAAAAGTCATAGTAGTTGTCTTCTGCCTTTGGGGCTACTTATGTTTTCACAGTCTCAGACAATCTTACAACAAAGGCTTTTATCACGTGCCACTCTAGCAGCTTTCAAAGTGCGTCTTTAGACTGGGGGAAGTTGATGGCAAATATAATTTAAGAGCTTATAACTTGACAAGGAGGTTGCACCAAGAGAGAATAATGGGATAGAGACCCAGTCTACTGAGCCCTTGGGAGTGACGGGAATTTCACCAAAGTTATTTTTAGACCAATTAAACGCTTGAATTAATCGGAAGTAGGGTTCCGGAGAGGTCCGCAAAAATTTGAGGACGTCTCAGGAATTAAGCTTTCGTTTAACTACAACCTCTGAAAAAACCTTTGGTGAAATTCGCAAATCCCGGCCAACGCTCCAAGAATCCCTCTCTGTTACATTTCAAAGGGAGTAAAGGATCTTTCACAAATATCCTCTCTCTCATTGCTTCTTGGAGGAAGTCGATATAAGCTCAGTACCAAGGAAAGTCGGCCTTAGCGACCTATTTTAGTTCGTTACAAAACTAAATGAAACTTTTTTTTCACCTATGAGACAAATTTACAAGTCGTACATTATGGTCTCAAACTACCATTACATTCTGGTTTTATTCCAAAAATGTGCATTGTATCTCTTACATATGTGTTATACACATCTCTTAGAATTTCGGCTCTCCGACGTTCATCCTCTTCAGATTCATAAGCCGAGAAGCAATTAAAAATACCATCATGAAAGTTTTCAAAATATGATGCACATTTATCCCGGAATTTTGTAAGGCTATCATTCACCGCATCGTTATCAGACGCTGCATCATCTGGGAGACACAGGCTTGTAGGAGGATATTCACCACATGCCGCCAAAAATAATTCCCTATCATCTTCATCTCCCGGATTATCTCTCCCTCGTAGGAAACCCGATAAGTTCTGGAACATAAACCTGCAGTTTTGACAAGGAGACTTTTCGGTTTCATAATCATGCCCAAACCAAAATGCTAAGGAATTCCAGTCGACTTCATCTCCAGTTTCTAGAGGCTGAAAGTACACAACTGCTTCCTTGAGGCTCTTTTTAAAACCACAAATTCGATTGTACAAATAGAGAGGCCTTAAGAAGTGAGACACTGCCACTGATGAGCCAACAAACCATTTGTCATTACGGAACACCCACGCTAAGACCTTGGGTCTGAATGTGTTGCGTGGTCGTCCAAGTCCATTAAAGAAACTTTTTGCTTGAGTCATCACAGTGTTAGCATGACTTTCGCTGCCCTTTGGACCATCCGAAAATTCTGCTATGTCACTTAACTGAAATAATAAACATATAAAAGAGGGCCATTATTGTTTTATCAGTGAGTGCAATGTTCTTGTTCAAATTATGAATAATATTTACTGTTGTGGCCATAATAATTAAAATAGATAGCTACGACACTAGAAACTCATGAACAGGCAAACAAAACTGCTTAAAACTACTGTACACATAAATTTTATCCTTGTGGGTTTGTTTGGCATTCATCTTTTATCACACGCTGACATTTATTCGTTATATCGAGGTATTTCACGTTTGCGTCTTGTAGATTGTTTTCGTTATAACGAGGATTTCGTTAAGTTGAGGTTCTGTTAGGTAATCAATACTGAATTGGTGAGCTCAAAAATTTACAAGACTAATTTCAAAATATACTATAAAAATACTAGAAATTTACCTAGATATTTACAAACATGATTATTAATAATAGTATTACTTGTAAGAGTTTACTTAAAATATCTAAATGTAAAAAAATGAATCTGCTCTCTTGGTCCTACAAGTAATTGAGTTATTGAATAGGAGAAAATTCTCGGAGTTCTTTCTGAGCTTGTAATTACAAGTACCTACAACAGGCCTAGGTAAAAATTTATATATAGAGAGGATGGTCTCTAGATTTCATCTCTTCCATATATTAACAGCACAAATCTCCTCTTCTCTCTTGCAGGGTTGGCAAGTTTGCTTGACTCAGGGCTTCCCGCTATAGGACTCTTCCACGAGGAAAACTATATCTTAAGTGCTCTTTTTTGCACTGACTCCATTACATCAGCTAAGCAGTCTGAGATAAATTGCCACACAGGCACAGCGTATTCTAAAACTGGTCTTATCGTAGTAAGATAAACTTTCAGAATGCTAGCTTTGCTAACACCCGCTCTACGCGGTACCCCTAGGGAATATAATTTGTTGCAGGCTTTCTTAACGTACAATGTAGTCAACGTGACTATTCCATTTGAGGAATGAAAAAATGACACCAAAGGCCTTATAACATTTAACTTGCTCTATGACATTATTTCCTGCTATAATAGGGTTTGAGTTGTGAAGAAAGTTTACAAACATTTCTTTGCACTTAGTTGGATTTAATTTCATATTATGAGCTCTGGCGAAATTGTGAATATCAGAGGCAACACAGTTCAAGAGACTGAAAGATTTCCTAGGGATAATCTCTAGAGCTGATGTGTCCTTTACCAATTTGATACGCAGATGCTAATCAGACAGCAGTCTGTTTGTCATAACTGCAAAGAGGATAATACCCAACTTGGTCCCTTACGGTATTCCTCCTTTCAGAATTTTCCAGTCTGACAGCGTTCCTCCAATCCGGACAGCCTGCTGGCTGCTGGTCAGAAAAGCAGCGATCCAGCTCAATAGTACAGGATGGACTTCCAGTTTGTCCAGTTCTTGAATTAGGATAGTGTGATCAAGAAGATCAAAACCCTTAGCGAAATCAGTTCCATACATTTTACTGTAATTTTGGCCGGGCTAAAGAAAATCGTTCGTTATACCGAGAACTTCGATATATAGAGGTTTGTTAAATCGAGGTTTCACTGTAACTGGTGATCATACTCAGACGGCAAGGTCCAAGATCAGTTTTCTTATTTCTCACGCAAGTTGTTCCATTCTCGTGCTGCAACACTTAAAAATGTGGACTGCCTCATTTTCGTTTTAGTAGGTCAGAAAAACGTCTTAGTGTTGTGAGTACAGTAAAAACCCGCATATAACAACACCAACGAGCTTTATTTGCATGACCATACAAACACATACAGTATTGCAAAAGCTATGTTTAGGAATCAAAATTACAACACAGGGCAATTACGTTACTTTGATAATAATTTGTCACGAACATCAAAACAAGCTGAAATATATTTTATGAATTGTACATTGATAAAGTAGTTAGAAGAGTTCATCAGTTCATTGATCAAACCGTTTATAGGTATAACTGGGTAATATTTGGAATCAGAGTCTTGACTTTATAGTAAAATTTATTCCTAATCATAGAGTATGTAGGACATTGAAAAAGAAAGTGAACTTCGTCTTCTATTACATTGCATCCACAAAAAGGGCAATGCCTATTATCCCTCGTAGTTTGATTGTATCTGCCTATTTCTATCATTAGTTTATGATTGCTTATTTGTAGTTTTATTAAAACTCTTCTCAGAGCTGTTCTTTCCATTAAGTCTAAGTAACTAGAGGAGGTATGATCGGTTTTAAAAGATCTATAAAATTCAAGTTTTTGAGAATGTTGAAGGGTGTTTTGCCAATGTGAGATATATTCCTGTTTCACTGAACTTACACTAGCTTTTTACCATAGCTATATCTAATAAGTCAGGGTTAAAGTCAGGAAACTTAAAGTATTCTGACATATTCATTAAATGAGAGTGGAAGCTTTTTTTGCCATTACAGTGTAAGTCGATTGACATTAAAAAAGCTTGTTTGACGAGAGATTCCTCATCTTTAGACTGTATATACAAAATGTATTTGAGAATTTTTTGATTGACTGTAATATTTAAAGGAAAACGACCAAACTCTTCTCTACAAGCCATATTAGAAGCTTTGTTGTTTACCTCCAAGTATCGTTTACAAAATTGAAGGTGTGCCTTCTCGATTTGTGAGCCGTCCCAGGTCTTAAAGTCTGGTTTGACATACACACCCCAAATTTCACTGTTATATGTTAGAGTAGGGGAGATCATAGTATCAAATATTTTACAGGCGAGAGCTGCTTTTAGTTTGCTAAGATTCGTGTGTCGTCTCTAGCTGAAGAGGGCATGAAGAGCTTTCTCCTGATGTTCACGTGACACTGAAAAATTTCCCGATGAGGACATTCGAGTTCCTAAGTAAGTGTACTCTCGTACAACATCAATTATTTGACTATCTATGAGAAAGTGAAAATCAGCATTTTTTCTCGCACGTTTCTGAAAAACCGTAATTTTTGTTTTCTTGGGATTGATTTTCATCATCCATGAAGTACAGAATGAAGATAGTTTATCGAGGCAATTTTGTAGTGCTGTTTTGGATCGTGATAAAATGATTAAATCGTCTGCATGTAATTATAATAGAGAATTTAGTTTTGCACCGTTTGGCAAAACAAAAGGATCAGATAATTTATTTGCAAATGCGAAAGGTAGGTCGTTAATATAAAGATTAAAAAGCAGTGGACTTAAGATACAGCCTTGCTGCACACCTCTCGCATAACGGAATGATCGCGTTTGTTTTTGGGCAATTTTAATTGAGCAGGAAGAGTTGTGATATAAGCTTTTAATTAAGTTATAAAAAGAACCACCAACATCAATTTGCAGCAGCTTATTCAAGAGCCCGTCATGCCAGACCGACTCAAAAGCTTTTAAGAACTCTAGAAAACAAGCATAGATCTTTTCGTTGTGATTTTGAACGTACTTATCTATCATGAGGTTCGGAGAGTGAAGACGTGGTCTGCTGTGCGGTTATTCGGTAAAAAGCCAATTTGAGATTTGTGGAGTATATTCAAAGAAACGATATACTCGAGAAGTCGTTGGTTTAAGATAGAACAAAATAGTTTTCCCAGGCAGCTAGAGACACAGATACCCCGGCAGTTTGCGGGATCGCTTCGTCCGCCCGATTTATAAATGGGAGTAATAAGACCACCACACCAAGTCTGTGGCGTGGTCCCTTGGTTAAGAATTGAATTAAATAATTTTCATATACGGGCATCGGTGTATTAACATTAACTCTTATCATTTCATTTCTAATTTTATCCGAAAATGGTGATTTATTATTCTTTAACTTTTCGGCAGCTTCACGTATTTCTCTTTCAGTTATCATGAAATCTAACTGAGGCATTCATTTTGTCGTAGCTCATTGCTAATGTTTTGCTGCGTTGGGTTAAGAGGTTCATTTGAATGAAGATTGTGGAAATATTGTAGCCAATTTTCTTCCGAGATTGATGGAACATCCTCTCCTTTTCTAGTGTCGTCCATGGATTTGAGACATTGCCAGAAAGTTTTCCCGTCTTCGTCGACATTCTTTATCGAACCATTTTTTGTGATAATGATTTGATACGCTTACGCGTTTTACCTAGTCTTATCTTTAAACAACACTTAGCCGCTGTGATTAAATGTTTCCTATACCTTTATGAGGGATAGCTCAGTGTTTTCTTTGAATGTGTCGCCAGCAATATAATCGTGTACCAGTGTTTGTATACGGGGAGACCTCAGAGCATCCTTGAATTTTTGACCGGGGTCGTTTTCCCACAGAAATTGTTTCGGTAAACGCGTTAAAGTATCTCCTTCAAGTATGGTGTGATTGTAACTCGTCTTTTTGTTAATATTCAGCCAAATAGTAATAGGGCTATGGTCTGACAAATGCAGTGGATCTTTGACTACAAAATTTGCAACGTGTGATAAAAGATCCTGGTCACATACTGCGTAGTCAACTACACTCACTCCGTTTTTGCCATGAAACGTTACTCTTCCGTTTAAAATCCTAAGTTCTGCACTTTTACAAATTTCAAGGAGCCGTTTACCGTGACTGTTTAATTCGTTATCAAAACTATTTCTCTGGGTTGGGCAGAGAGAGAATTCTGATTGGTCGTTTGTAATAAGGTTATTTCCCTCTTTACAAACACGGTCGGAATACTTTCCTGTTCTAACGTTCAAGTCACCCATAAGGAGAACTGAGCCTTGGGAGGAACTGAATATTTCGATGTCATTTTCAAGTTCTTCAGATAATTCTACATTGAAATATGGTGAATTACATGGAGGTATATAAAGTCTATAAAGGCCACACGTATAGATATCTTTGACGGTTTTGGCATAGTCTTTGTCAATCTTGAACCATAGAAAATTGCAGGTCTTTTTGACAATTGAAATCCAATCATGAAATGTATTTTTAGGGTAAGACTATTCCGCCGGAATCCCTACCGCCTTTTCGCGATTGAGTAGCATCCCGAGTCACAGATCTAAATCCCCTCACTTCAACAACATTCGAACGCGTCAAAGTTTCACAAAGTATCACGAAATCAAAATTGTTGATAACATCCAAA